CAAATGTTATTTATCATTAACAGACAAAAGAAAAAGAAAAATATTTTAGATTTCAGTGTTATTCTTTTTGTGTTTCTCTCGAATTGATACACGCTTACTAAATACCGTATTGAATTTTGGATAAAAGGCTGCAACTTCAACAAACAAACTACACAACATACACAAACAATCTAAATTCAATAAATTATAAGAATAATCATAATTAATATCATTAATTACAACTAACTAATACAGAATGTTGAATACTGATCAACATAAAAGTACAGGAATCACACTAGGAAATCACACACAGCACAACTGCCATGTACAGAGTCCTTTATGACAGCAGCGATTTAGAGAACAGTGAACTATGAGAGATTGTGGATTATCTGTGTCAAGTGTAATGAACGACATTATCCTGAACCTGGAAAACCAGGGACCTACGAAACTCCTCCACAATTTCAAGGTTAGTCAAAATGTTACTCATTTACATTTAATAAAATTTAGGAAATATATAAAAACAATATGGAATGTCAATCCTAGAGAAACTTCCCTGGAGGCAAGATCTTCACAAAACAAGGTCTTGAACAATGGACAACGCCATACTTTTGTCATTCAAACTTAGTGTTGTCACATGGCTGCAAATAACCAATCAGCACTGAGAATTGCTAAAATATATATGTTCCGATATAAAAATAGAATAGAATAATACTTTAATGCCTTTTCAGAAATTTGTGTTGCATCAGCAGAGGTACTGTCACAGAGATACAAAACATATTTACATAAATTCATTGATTTAACTATCTTCACATTTGTTTAAAAGAGATATGGTACTTGGAATAAAGGATGAACGTGTTCTCTTAGTTTTCACAATTGGAACTTTGTAGCGGCGGCCTGAAGGGAGGAGGTTGTATTCCGAATTTAAGACTGAGTTTGGTTTTACGCCGCTTTTAGCAATATTCCAGCAACATCACGGCGAGGGACACCAGAAATGGGCTTCACACATTGTACCCATGTGGGGATTCGAACCCGGGTCTTCGGCGTGAGGAGCCAACGCTTTAACCACTAGGCTACCCCACCGCCCCCCGAATTTAAGAAGTGAGTTGGGTCAGATATAATTTCACAGCTTGATTCACGATTTGCCGCTCATGTAACTTAAGTTATTTCCCATGATCATTCTGCCCTAAAAGGTAACAACAATTATGCCCATGAAGGTGCGGGTTAGAAATGGCCATCAGCATCCCATGCTAGTCATAACAGGCAAGTTACGGGATCAGGTGGTCAGACTCGCTGACTTAGTTGACAGGTCATCGATTCCCAATTGCATAGATCAATGCTCATGATGTTGATCACTGAATTGTGTGGTCCAGACTCGATTATTAACTTACTCCCTATATGGCTGGAATATTGCTTAGTTTGGTGCCACGTTAAACAATAAACAAAATATATGGAATTTATGTCTCTTATTGAACAATACCACTCTGACAAGGCCAGGCCAATTTTATTTCTTGTTTTATGGATTTTTGTCCTCAGAAAACCTAAAGGCAGGCGGGAAAATATAAAAAATATAAATCACCAGTCAAAGTAATATTCTTTTTGAATACTAAAAGTGTTTTATTTTTGGTAATTTATGAAGTGAATATGGGGCAAAAAACAATAAAAAATTGGGGGTGGGGGGTAGGTAAGTTTACATTTTTGGCCAATAAAAACACGAGGATTTTATTTTCTGAGTGGGGAAAATAAATATTCATTTTTTTTTTCTTATTCTTGAAAAAATATGACCGGAGGATCCATAAAACAAGATATATAATTGGTCTGGCCTAAGGTATTCTTAATATATACAGAAATGTATAAACATGTAAATGCTTTATAACAAATCCCTGTATACAACTGAGAATGACCCAAACAAAACAGTGATGGAAAACAGTTTTAAGCCACTTTTAGCAATATTCCACCATATCACGGCCGAGGACACCAGAAATGGGCTTCACACATTGTACCCATGTGGGGAATTGAACACTAGGCTACCCCACCGCTCCAGATGGATAACTAACTGACTGACTGACTGACTGACTGACTGACTGACTGAGTTTGGTTTTACGCCACTTTTAGCAATATTCCAGCAATATCACGGCGGGGAACACCAGAAATGGGCTTTACACATTATACCCATGTGGGGAATCGAACCACTAGGCTACCCCACCGCTCCAGATGGATAACAAAATAATAACAATCTACAGCATGTCACCATGACCCAGTATAAGCTAAGTCGGTGTACAGCTGGAACATTATCTACTTCTGTCTTGATTTAATTATTCCTGAAACACTGTTCTTTTCACAACTATTTCGGAAACTCAAAGATCTTCCAGGCATGAGAAGAGAAAGTCAGCTGGGGATCTTAGGGCAATAGTGCGCGAGTTTAGTTTTACGCCAGGTTTAGCAATGTTCCAGCAATATCACATCGGGGGACACCAAAAATGGGCTTCACACATTGTACCCATGCGTGACACATGAACTCTTTAACCACAAGGCTACCACACTGCCCCCATATTGTTTGACCATACCTTAAAATTAAACTTTGAAAAAAGACACCTCTCTTACTGTCTTTGTTTTTATTCCCATTTGGAGGATGAATACACTCTCAGCAAACACAATCTTGTATCATTATACTACAAGGTGTCATTCAAAGACATTACACTTGACACAGCACACGAATGATGGACAAACCAATAAATAACACAATGACACAAAATCAAACAAATTACAAGACAAATGGACGACGAGCCAGATTCAAACAGATAATTGCTCTTGTATTTGTCAGGCTAGCTATTCTCCAAACATTCGTAGTCCTACAAACTTCTTAAGCCCATTCTTAACACATTGGCTACGATCAAAGTTAAGAATTCTTAGGGCTACGAACGTTTCGAGAATAAGGGCCAGGTTATCTGGCTAGCTATTCTCGAAACTTCGTAAGTCCTACGAACTTCTTAAGCCCATTCTTAACACTTTGGCTACGATCAAAGTTAAGAATTCTTAGGGCTACGAACGTTTCGAGAATAAGGGCCCTGGCTAGCTATTCTCGAAACTTCGTAAGTCCTACGAACTTCTTAAGCCCATTCTTAACACTTTGGCTACGATCAAAGTTAAGAATTCTTAGGGCTACGAACGTTTCGAGAATAAGGGCCCTGGCTAGCTATTCTCGAAACTTCGTAAGTCCTACGAACTTCTTAAGCCCATTCTTAACACTTTGGCTACGATCAAAGTTAAGAATTCTTAGGGCTACGAACGTTTCGAGAATAAGGGCCCAGGTTATTAAGGTTTAGACATAAGACTGCTGATATTTCCAATCAAAGACTTTACACATAATACAATGTCAATGAATCGTGGCCTTATTAACAGCAGTAGTTCTTAAAATGCATAGGTCAGCAAGTACAAATATTCAATATGAATCTGGCAATGTAATGTCTCGAGGGATATATCAAGTTATAAATCAAAATAATGCAAAGCAACCATGAACCAATAAACAAATAAATATTTCAAATATGAAAACATCTACAAAATAAGTCTGATTAACTTAAAAAAACCAAAACATTTATCAGTTTAAATACAAAACACAGAAAAACATTTCCAAAAAGTCATTTGCCTTATTCAGGATTCTAAATGTTTGTTCAAGATTTTGTTTCCAGAAAGATGCAGGGAATTTACAAACATTAAGTACTATACATGGCTTCGGAGATCCGGCCCATATTGATATTATGCTAAGCTCATGACATAATGAATATATTCATAGTAGCCTCCAGGTGGGCTGCACCACCGTTGACAATGACTAGACATTCACATCTTGAGATTGGAGACTGCTGCTGCTAAACGTGTTATAGTAGCTGGGTACCACTGAAAAAATACCCATCATCAATTCAGAAACAAAACCAGGGTCAAAATCAGACTACAGGAACGTACCCTAGGTGTGACTGTGTGACCCTAGAGACAGTCGCCTAGTCTGTTCAGTGTGTTAAACTGGTTCCTAGCAGACTAAGTGTGCCGAACCATGGCATCAATCAATGTACTGACTGAGTGAGTTTGGTTTTACGCCGCTTTTAGCAATATTCCAGCAACATCACGGCAGGGGACACCTGAAATGGGCTTCACACATTGTGCCCATGTGGGGATTCGAACCCGGGTCTTGGGCGTGTCAATCAATGCAAGTGTTAAAGAAATGTGTTTTCCAATAGAAAGAATCTAGAAATCAATACCACCAATATTTTCTAATAAGGTATTCTTGCATCACATTAGGCTTGCTTACAACAATCTGAATTCAGATTCACATCATTTAATCAACTTATCAAGTCACTTTTACAGCAGGTTGTTCTCAGCTAGGGTTGGTTTCTGAATATGATTTTGACTCGGGTACATTTATCTATAACTGCACTAGATGTTGTAACCACCATACAGTGTTACTACTAGGCCAGATGCAGCCATATTCAAACTCAACACAGTACATATTAATCTGTACTCATTCATACAATTATGCTTAATACAAAATTATTTTTATCCTATAATGATACACCTGGGAAGGCTGGAAGGAAAGTCAAACAATCACCACAAAAGAATCTGTTGCTGTTGGTACAAAACGTATCTGTGCCATGTTACACAAAGCTTGTAAGATGTAATGGTCCAGATGGCTGTACTGGTAACAATGACCATGAAAGTCTACAATACTGGTCATGGATATATTCAGACGTCAATATTCCGGGGGAAAAACTGCTGATATTATCTACTAGGAAAACTGTCAGTCCCTAGACGTCAATAAAACCTGTTTCCCTGGTACACTGCAACATGACCAATACCGAAACACAGCCACGTGATCAGTGGAGACAACTGTTCCACACTCAGGAATTCAAATTCACTTCACCATTATGGCTTGACCATTCTTACGTGTTAACAAATCTTTGTTAATTGCAGTACCATATCATAATCCTAATGGTAAAAATACTGACTGAAGAATGAAGATTTACGATGCAAGAAATTGTGTTTATTGTATACCTAATATGTTCCTGCTCCTTGAAGCACAGTAAAAACTCATGAATCCTGGGTGACAAGATTTTTCATACTAAAGAAATGTTTCCCATCTAACAATTCCTAAATTTTCAAAAGGCTTTGCCTGAGGACTAATTATATATACATACTGTTTTTCCTCATGTATCATTCTGGTACCTTCATCAATCCATACACAACCAGAGAAGTAAAACACCTATTTTCGATTAATTTCAAAATGCTCTCCTTAGAGAACAGCAAGTGGACAAGTCTACAGCTCAAACTCTGTATGACAATACTTATCCTTTCTTCAATATTTATGACAGAAAAGGTATGACTTCTCAAACTTTGTGCCTGAATCTCTTAATTAACCAAATTAATGGAGTTGATGTTCTGAAATGGCTTAACATTTAATGTTAATAACAAACATCATTAAAGTCTGCATAATCTACAATCAACAAAGTTAAATTTCAAAATTGCATACAAAATACATATATATTTATTTGATAACATTTAACTTTCAATATCTGTTAAACTGAAGAGATACTGTTTGAACTTCACATCAAAGATATGAACTTATTTTGTATACACAACTGAACAAACATAAGGGGCACAATTAATGCTCCCCAAATTGACAGAAAAGTCTGTCGAAACATAAACAGATTTTCTGGACTGATCATCAGCTCCATTAGGGGAGAAAACTAACGTACTACAAGGTTAGTACAACCAATACAAACATGGAAATAAATATCTTTAATGATCGGACAAATAACAAAACACTCAAACTAAATGCTTTTTAAATGTTGACAATGCTAAAGGGAGGCAATATCTCCTGACGTTCAAGAAATGACAATGAACATATTCGTGACAACACGCACTGGGTTATCGTAATTCTTCTTGTACCAAAGTACATGTACATGAGAAGTCTTACAAATATCAATGGCTACCATCAGACTATTACTGTGGTAAATCCGCATCAAGCATAATGTGTGTTAATGAGACAATAATTCGTGTTTTTTCATCTTGAACTGTGTGATGTCATCTCAACTGCCAAGGAAGTGGTCATCACAAAAGCCATTTGGCAGTGCCCTTTCGAAGTGATGGTTTCTACCACACTTTAAACTGTCCCAGGATTGAATATGTACACGTTTCACAGAAATGTTCTGCTTGAAGTTCAAGACTTCGATGACACAGAATGCTCACTTGAGTCAGAGGTACATGTCAGTTTGTGAGGATTCACTACTACCATCAATCGGATTCAGTCACGCGCATTTCAACAAAGTTCCTTCGTATTCGTTTCAAACTCAGCAACAACAGTTCTTGGCACAGAATATTATACATGTTTTCGACAAGACTGTATGTTCAAACAAGGCCTGGACTCCTTCAGACGCCATGTTTTTTGTTTCCAACACTCAATAATGGACTAGTCTCTTCCTTCACTCTTCCCAATCAACCGAAGCAGCAGGAAGACTGGTAATGGCAAGCTCTAATGTTATGCTATGAAGATGGCTTAAAAATATTAGTGTTAAACACCAAGTACAATTAGCCTAAAACTGATGGCACTACGTAGCTGTTAATATCCTAAAACCTAGACTTCCTTGTATGTTTATAACCATACAGAAACTAAATACATTAAAATCTGGCCCTTGTTTCATTTCCAGAAACATGCCCTAAAAATATCAAACTTTTGACTCAAAATGTTAAATTTATTTTGCAAAAAATGTAAAAATTGCAGTCCAAATTTTAGACTTTTGCCAAATAAGAATTATGGAATTAGACGGCCAGACAACATAAAATGTCGAGTTTAGGATGATAACAGTGCGCACTAAGAAAGCTAGGAGTAGCACTAGCGAAGACTCCATCTTCTTTTGCCGTTACTGTGTAGCTGCGGGGCAGGGTACCCCGACGCTGTAGTTCACAGGGGGCAGCCCTGGCTGGAAGGCCTGGACAGGCGCAGTGGGGTACGAAGGGCCTACCATGTACACCACTTGACCTTGACCTTGGGAAGGTGTGCCAGGAATGGGAGCAAAGCCTGTGGAAGGAGAAGACGGATAGACATAATAGCAGGAACCACCACCACCATTTGTGTAACTGTTAGCAAGAGAAGCAGGGGGAGGAGGAGGAGGGCCGCATGCAGCAGAGCTAGGCAGGGGTTGAGAGCTGACCAGAACGTTGGGACGCTGGACAGGGGAGCAGTGTTAGGAGGGGGGGCTGTGAACAGCGGGGGCTGGTGATGAGGCCCAACCAAGGTCGACGACAGTGAAGGAGGTATACTTTGCATTGTGGGAGGCTGGGAAGTCGGGACCTGTAAGGACGTGCAAGGCAAGAATGTGAGACCGGAGTTCATATCAATGGGGAGATTCTGACCAGGAACAAAACAGTTGGCATTAACATTCAGGTTACTTGCACTGTCCTTATAACTAACCAAGCCCTCGGACTGCTGAATGTAGATGGGCTGGCCTTCACACCGGGCTTTAGCCGAGCTAGTCTCAGCCAGCAACACTTGGAACCTTGGCGGGATCTCTTTGATTGGTTTCACCAGTTTGTGATTGCCATACATGTAATACTTTCGTTTACCCTTTCCTTTGCCCTCACTATTAATTTCAATACATTCTGTGCTCCCTAGAGGATTCTCCTCATTTTCACAGACACTGTGACTGCCCTCCATATCTCCCTCCTCAGTGGAACTCTCCAGCTTGGAGGGGCTCAAACTGCCTGAACACTCACTAACACAACCACTGTCAGTGGACAGACAGCCTTCATCTTCAGCCTCCTTCTCTCGGTAAGGATCGGACACAGAGTTACCTCCCTTCTTCAGATCAGGTTTCGGTGCTAGATTGAAATCAGATGGTTTTTGACTGATTTGTGTTTTAACAGGTAACTTGTTTCTCATGCTTGACTGACCCTGATCATAATGTGACATCATTGGCTGAGCTGACATGTCAACAGGACCAATCATGGGTGGCGGTGGTGGAGGTGGCAATATTGGCTGCTGGGATTGCTGGAAACTGGCGATCACTCTTGAATACTGGAAAAAAAAACAATCAATAAACAGTTTATCATTCCAGGCAACTTTCAAACTATAACAAGAGCAACTTTGTAAGTTATCCATCCCCAATAGATGTCAATCTTTGACTTGTCTGGTCCAAATTTGACGCAGTCATGCTAAAATATTGTAGAGCACTACATTATTGGACAAAGAAAGAAATATTTTTTACTCATGGTGCTGAAAAAGAAACAACAAAGATCAAGATGGGTGGATGAATATGGTTGTGGGTTTTTTTATCAGTTCAAGACAAAGACACATGATGCCCTTGAATACTGATGCATTCATGGAAACGTTAACACAACTGTCAAACATTTTTTGTGTTTTTATGACAGAATCCAAAATGGTTTTTTAAAACATGACACTTTGTATACTTTTCTATCCTTTGTTACGTTTATAGGTGGTCCTTGTTCCGTTCTGAAGATCTTTCAATTTTTGCTGTTGCATAACTTTTATAACTGGATTGATGTTGGATCGAAACCGACTCACTGCCATACTTCTTTGAATCATTACATAAAAATAGTTAACTGAGGTGTCTGTCAGAAACAAACACTCAATCCTAACACCAAATGTATGCCTTTTGTCTTCACAATATAGAAAAACTTTGGTCAATTCATGGGGAATTCCACACAAGAATATAGTCCCAAGCAACCTAGGTTAGTTGGAATCAGGGAATAGGTTAAGGCTCAGTGACATGGCAGATTGCATGTCATCGTAACCCAATGGTGTGGACCGATGCTCATGATGTTAATCACTGGATGGTCTGGTCCAGACTCAATTTTGTTTATGGATTGTCATCAAATAACTTGAATAAAGCTCAAGTGTTGAACAAAATGTTAAAATACGCCTGTATTTGCAGATTGTAGACAAACTGTCAGGTCAAGGCTATAAAGACTGAAACAGCAGGATCCCACAGTTAAATGAACTTTAAGGGTTTTGTTTTTCTCACAATAATAAATGATGAGAAAACCTGAATCAGCAACAAACCATCCTCTAACCCTTAAATACACAAACTCGAAATACAAACCAAGAAAGCAAGATCCACAAGCTGAATCTGTGACGATCATACTCCATGCAACACCACAAGAATGAGATGCATGTCGGTAACCAACTTTATACAGGGTTAACAGTATACAGATGAAAACATCATAATGTACATGTTTACATACCTCCCAGTCATCACTGTGATAAATATACAACCCCTAGGGTACAACAGAGTATCTTTTATCTTTCACCCCTCCCCCCTTTCTCATACCACCTCATTATCAATTTGTACCCCTGGGCAGTTCACGGCCACGAGAGAAAGTAGGCACACATTCTTAAACGCTTTCAATCTTCAAACCAGGGTACAATTTTGCCATTGTTTCAAGAGTTATGATCAACATCAATACACCGGATAACCCACAACTTTTGATATGGATAGTGAGCATTCAGTTGCGTCTTAATCTGATGACTTGTTTTGCATATGTTCACATGCAGATGGTATTTGATATTAATATGGAGCCTGACCAAGATTAAACTTCAAGATTAAACTAATTCAGTTTTATCATCAACTATGAACTATCTAAGTTTGAACTATGAACTATCCAAGTATGAACTATGAACTATCCAAGTATTAAGTATGAACTATGAACTATCTAAGTATCCCTATAAATGTTGAGTAGTATTTTAAAAGGTATTTAAAACATATAAATAAATAAGGTACATAAATGAATCATAAAACACTCATTACTTTCCCCAGGGCTTTCTCTGACCGTTTGATTATCTGGTACATATTTAACAGCACAAGAGGTACATTACATGGGATAATGTTATCGCACACCTTTTATCTTACGAAAGCTGTCCGCAATACTGGATATAGTTTCAGAAACAGATACCAAATCACTTTTAGTAAGAGTATTCATATGGATCATTCTATTCAAATAAACAATTGACAAATGAGAGTCAGTTTTGCGAATCATAAAAACGATAAACACCCATGGCTATCAAAAGTGGAGTAGCATATGAGTGAGTGAGTGAGTTAGCGAGTGAGTATGGTTCTACGCCACTTTTAGCAATGTTCCAACAATATCACGGCAGGGGACACCAGAAATGCGCTTCACACATTGTACCTATGTGGGAAATCGAACCCGGGTCTTCGTCATGACAAGTGAACACTTTGACCACTAGGCTACCCCATCGCCCGGAGTAGCGTGTAAAGAGACTGTAAGAATAAACAAATTCTATTGCTAATATTGTGGAATTTAGGGACCGATATCCGAGCACCAGGTGACAAAATACGTAAATCCCTAGAGTGTGGTTTTGAACAAAATCAATGGCACGGAATCAATGTTTCAGCCGAAGCAGCTGTATCGTATAACAATGTCACATTTCTATGGATTGACAATCTGCTATTTGGTCGTGGTATTATCTGATGAATTCAGGATTACACCCTTACTCTAAGTAAGTCACAGTCTGCACAGACTTCAGGGTTCAATGACATCTGTACAACTTGTGTTCACATGTGAGTAATAAGTAAGTTTAGTTTTACGCCTGTTTTAGCAATATTCCACCATTTAGCAATATTCCAGCAATATGTAGTGAGGGGGATCGAACCTGGAAATGGGCTTCTGCACCACTGTACCATCATGTGGGAATGGGAGTGAGGGTGAGTGAGTGAGTGAGTGAGTGAGTGAGTAGGTACCCCATCACCCCAAATTGTAGTGATGGGTTGAATGAGGAAGGGAGTAGTGCAGAGTGGAGGTGAGTGGGTGAGTGAGTGAGTGAGTGCGTGAGTGAGTGGCGTGAGTGAGTGAGTGAGTGAGTGAGTATAGTTTTATGCCGCTTTTAGCCATATTCCAGCAATATCATGGCAGGGGACACCACAAATGGGCTCCACACAATGTACCCATGTGGGGAATCGAACCCGGGTCTTCGGCATGATGAGTGAAAGCTTTAACCACTAGGCTACCCCACCGCCCGAGGAAGGCAGTAGGTGACATGACAGGATACATGGGATCCATGCAAGCATTATTTTATCATGATATAACCCAAATGAAGCCTGGAAGTATTTGATTACTTTTTAACTCAAAACTGGGACTGTCATGTATGGTAATATCTCTCGAGTTTGAGAATCTACATGTACACGACAAACATCTGTCAACGGATCAATAGCTCCGTCAACACAATCCTCCTGAAGATCAATATGCAAGCTCACATGCACAAATTGCAAACACTATCACCGTCAAATTAATTTGAGAACATCTACACACTGAATAAACCAGCAGATCAAATTAGATAGTGAACATCAAATATTGTTCCCGATAGTTTTATCGTAATAAAAGAATTGTCGTTTTTTTTAATTTAACAGTTAACACCTCTCCAATATTTTTTTTAGCAATGGAACAGAAAAAAGTAAATTTGAGATTAGAAGGTTGTAAGTTACTGTTTCAGACACAGTTTTGCAGCTTGACGACCAGGTGCTATTTGACTGACAGAGGTGGGTTTAAAGGGTTTCTAATACCAAGCAGGATACTACCAGATGCGATTGAGCGGGATGAGTTTCATACATCTGCCATCTAAGCAAACACTTCAAAGAGCACAGACATATTACTTTTACTACTCACATAAGGAAATTTTTACTACTTAAAATATTTTTACGAATGATGTTTGTATTTTCTTGTCAAATTCCATGTACCAAAGTTGATACCTTCCTTCATGAGTGATCGCACAGATCTTCACGACCTTTACTTTAAAATATTTGTGTAACTAAATACAAAATAATTAATAAAATCTATCATTTCGACTTGTTGTACAAATGAATTAATCAACTGCATTTTGAAGATAAATGTTTCTCAAATAAATGAGTGAGACAAACAATGCCATATCCAATTTTGGTGTATGAATTAGTTTCTTAAATTCACTGGCCAGGAGGGCTTGCTAAAAACATTGTGGGCAAGACATCATATTTTAATAGCCCTACAGTTGCAAGCATATTTGTACCCCAATCCTCCACAGGTGTATTACATGAACTCTACAAAACTTTATACCTGGCCATAACATCAGCTAAAACCAAGTTTAAAACTTTGCATCCATTTCTGATCCTTTCTACGAACTGAAAAGACTTACCCATGAAACGACACCTCAACTGGCTTGTTACTAGTAAATTGGACTAAAATTCCCAATAGTGAGTGAGTGAGTTCAGTTTTACGCCGCTTTTAACCATATTCCAGCTATATCACGGCCAGGGACACCAGAAATGGGCTTCACACATTATACCCACATGGGGAATCGAACCCCACCGCCCTAAAATTCCCAATAAGACAGTTTGGCAAGTGTGACAGAATTGTTACTCCTTGAATTAAAGTCACTGAAATTTGAAAGCTATTGAGAAGACTGTATCCATTATTCACAACAATCTCAAAACAGAGATCCACTATATTAAATTTCCTTCATCAAATCAACCATGACAAATTCTTACCTTAAATCTATTCATACTGATGCAGCTTGATCAGAGAATCTGCACACTGACTCATACAGTTATCCGTCTTAGCCATACCACAGATTTAAATCTGTCTGTCGTAACACGCATGCCACAACGCACAGGAGACGTTTCTTCTCACGTCTATATGCCAGTATGCTCTGCTGAAACACTGCTGTTACCATATTGACCATGTGCAGCAGCTGGGAGCTCCACACACCCTCTCACTGCAGGGAGCTTACCCCATGTGAAGCAATCAAACTGTATCACCACAACAGATGGAGATCTAATTGGATTATCTGGTATATCAGCAAACCTTATGGCCGAGATGGCGTTATTTGTACAAATGTTCACAATGTAACATATATAAACAAACCTCAAGATGACCCTTTTAAACCTATAACTTATGTACTGTATGTCTGTCATAACGCCACTTTGAACACTATTTTCAGTTCCATTGTCAGCTTATTGTCACAGAGCATAATCATTTAAGGCTCCGATTTCTCGAAAAAACTTAAGTTTTTACTCAAATTTCAAACTGAGTTTGACAAATTGAAACAGCTGATTTTTTTAACTCAACTGCATTTTTTAAAATAAAAAAGCCCAAACAACTTAAGTAGCCTATCTACCCAACTCAAATTGTCAACTATGTTTGAATGTAATATTGATTTCAGTTCATTCTGAGAAATGCATTTTCCTGCTTTTTCTCAAATTTGAGTAAAAACTCTTACTTAAGTCAAAACTCAGACTTAAGTTTGTTTCGAGAAATCGGGGCCAGGACAATGACAATGGGACCAAATCTGGTACTTGTAAGAACAAAGTCTTACATAGCCAAGGGGGGTAACTCTGCATGGGGTATTGCACTATCAACATGGCTGCAACCTTCAAACTGTTTCAGTGAAGGAATTTTGTCCAGGAACCACCGGGACTGCTAAGAGCTGGCAGGGGATCTAGGGGGGGGCAACATACAGCATACAGGAATGAGCCCTCTGATTAAAGGGTTTTCGTAACAGATAATTGTGTTTGATGTGAAAAGAGAAAAAGATATATCATTTAAATACAGTGAGGGTATGAAATGTGATGAAATGCACAGGTCTCACTCCAACTCCAAAGGTAAAAGTGTATGTAGATCAGAATGAGAGTAAATATTGCTTAACGCTGCATCAGCAATTTTCAGTTATACGTACATCAGAAATAAGCCAAGAAAGTACACGAGTAACGAAATGTTTTCAATAATAATTTGACAAATGTCAAGATTGGCCATACCAGTCCTCTTATGAAGTCAGTAAGTTAATATTTAGCAATATTTCAGCCATATCGTGACGAGAAAAATTTGCATATTAAAATCAATAAATTTAGAATATAAAAACCTGTAGTCAATGGGCAGTAAAACTACTAAAGTATCACAAATTTTGGTTTAAACTGGTATGTTACGCTAAAAAGATACTAGTATAGACAATACAATATATATCTTATGAAGGGAACACGCCTTCTTGATAGTCAATAATGAAGTGAGTTACAGTATAATACCACACATTATACTAAATACAATCATAGCATATTGGGGTTTTCATCAACAAATTATCCAACGAAATCAACTTAATGTTATTTTAGCCACACAAACTCATTTTTATTTTGACCAAATTTACTAGCCTTACTTTTCTAAAAATATTCCCCAAAAATCAAAGATATGAAAACTCAAATCCCTGATTTAATCAATGAACTTGCCACATATGAAATATTACAACACCTCACCCTTCAATATATACAATTCTTCGTCACAGATGTTGTATGAGCCATAAATCAAGTTACAACAGACATGTCAGCAAAACTATTCTTACAGTGTTCTTCAAAAACATTCAAATCAATAACACTACATGTCAGGCTCTAAATGATTAGAAAATATCTCACAGCTGATTGGTCAGTTTGAATCACATAATGTCACATGTTACAATAAAGGAAGTAGCTATTGTCCATGATATCACAAACTGAAGCTTAAGACTTTACAAGAGAATGAGTGAGTGAGTATGGTTTTACGCTGCTTTTAGCAATATTCTAGCAATATCGCAGTGGGGGGACACCAGAAATGGGCTGCACACATTGTACCCATGTGGAGAATCGAACCGCTTTAACCACTGGGCTTCCCCACCACCCCTTTAAGACTTTAAGAATGGGTAAGGCACCGAAAAATTAAATGATCGAGTATATTCTAGTATTTGAACAAATGATCATAGTTGCTGGCACATGAAAGGCACAAGTAAGCACATAAACTGTAGGAGACTGGATCAGTGTGCCAGTGTGAACACTAACCGTGTATCACCACAGATTATTCAGAGAGTGTGTGTGTGTTTAGTTCTACGCTGCTTTTAGCAATATTCCAGCAATATCACGGCAGGGGACACCATATTGTACCCATGTGGGGAATTGAACCCAGGTCTTCAGCATGAGCAAACGCTTTAACCACTAGGCTACCTCTGATTGGTCAGACTGACCAGTATGTTACTGCAACATTGTGGTTTTCTTCAGGATGCACAAACCTGCAACAACATACTCACTGAAATTGCTGAAGACATTTACAAAGCTGACAAAAGAGAGGCAATCATTTGACTGACTGACTGAGTTTGGTTTTACGCCGCTTTTAGCAATATTCCAGCAACATCACGGGGGGACACCAGAAATGGGCTTCACCCATGGGGGATTCGAACCCGGATCTTCGGCGTGACGAACCAACGCCTTAACCACTAGGCTACCCCACCGCCCCGGCAATCATTTGAACCATATTTAATAAGTTAAAATTGTATTGATATATTATTCTTGCTTATCTTAAAACAAAACAAAAAACCCAGAAAATGTGGTTATGTACAGAAGACCAACCTGACTCCATCAGCACAATGGCCGTAGCCATACTAGTCTACTTCATGCAACAAGTAGATGAGACAATCTAGCCTGCACCACCCAGCTATTCATGAAAACACAGGCAATGGCACACATCTGGTATCAAGACAAACACTCATACATGAAATAAAAGCATGTCATTTTCAAAACAAATCACATCCTCGCTCAGTGTGATCCACACACTAACTAGTCAACACACATACATGAAGGGCTCATGACGACATAAAACAAATCCCTTAACAATATATAATTCCAGCCAGGACTGACTGACTGACTGAGTTTGGTTTTACGCCGCTTTTAGCAATATTTCAGCAATATCACCGCGGGGGACACCAGAAATGGGCTTCACTCATTGTACCCATGTGGGGATTCGAACCAGGGTCTACGGCGCGCGTAACGAGCAAACGCTTTAACCACTATACTACCCCACTGCCCCTTCCAGCCAGGAGACACACTAGGGAGTGAAACCGTTGTCAGAATAGATTATCATAAACAAAATAGAGTATTTCCAAATACATGGGAAAAATCTTGAAATAAGTCTCTACTTAATATACTAAGGTAAATAGGATAGCAAAAGTTGATGTTACACAATAAGTCTACTCTCCATCACCTTCCCATAACACCTCCACTCTCATTTACTGCCGCAAAATAGTTTTGAGGGGAATCCACCCCTCCTTTTTATCCTGATCTTCTCCCCAAGGTGCCAACCACATCTTCCTTCTATCTGTGCCTCTTCATAAAACTACACGGTAAGTGTAGCTATCATGTTGTTTTATTTGTTCTACCCACCATTTGTCCTTCACCACCATAACTGACACAGCAGTAGACTGAAGATACAGGAGTGAGTATGGTTTTATGCCACTGAAAGCACTTTTCAAACTATAAAACTGCAAGGACACCAGCATATTGGCTTTAGGAATACTTTATCATCTGTGCTGACCAGTTCACAGCCCTGAGTTCGCTGTAGTTTTAACATACATCACTATTTTTGTCACATGTTGAATTGTAGACAGTGTACTTACTATAACCTTACGCTAATTCTGAAGCTCTAAATATCCACAATCATATTAACCTTCAAATGTAAAATATATTCAAATTGACGAGCTTTAATGTGTCAAGTTGACCTTTTCATTTCAAGATGTATACTACATGCCTGGAATGTTTCAAGAATTGTCTTCGCTATATTTTGCATTTGACACGTACCTTGTCTATATCAGTAATTTGATATCATGTTGTTAGTCAATTATTAAAAAGCATTTAAATTCAAAATTCAAATTAACTAGCACTGAAACATAGCTGCTGAATTCTCTGTCAATGAATCCACACACAAACAAACCAAAATAATCACTGCAGCAGAATATATTTTAACTTACAATATATTTCTGAAAGTATTAACCATATCATATTCTAAGGCGTTAACAGCTAATATGAACTTATGTTTACCCAAAATGTAATGTCAACACTTAATACTACTCCGGTAACATTATATATCATCATATTCAATATCATGGATAATCAGAATATCCCTATAAAAAGTTGAGCAATATATTGAGAAGATGGCAAAGAACTTGAAAGTTTGACAAAAATATGTAAATATGATGACTAACCTCATTACCAAGGTTGAAGAAGTATCGCAGTGTGTTCATATCTGAAACAAAAGACAAAGAACGCTACACACTCACCCTCCATGATTCCCATACTGATAGTAGCTTGACAACAACTTGCCCCGGGAATACTAATAACTTGGGTTACCATGGCAACGAGTGGAAAACTTTGATGAAAGATATCATAGTGATAATACATATATGAGTGAATGTATCCCAGCACACTGGCTGAAGGCAAGAGCCCACTTTCAGACAAACACTTTAATGTCTGGCTCACGTACACATCAACTGAACAGGTTGCTGCTCTTCCAAGCCATTGTTAGTGAGTGAAGTTGCCATGTGAGTAATGCCTTCACTTAGCGTGAGTTCACTGGAGTATGAACCTCCATGGAGTGAGGGAATAACTATATGAATGCCTGAACTACTTACAATTTCAAGTTCAAAACTAAAAAGAGTCCTGAAGGTTTGCTTCTAAGAATCCCTTAAATTCTTAACCTTAAACTTGAGTGAGTGAGTGTGTGGGCACGTAAGTGAGTGAGTGAGTTTGTGGGCACGTAAGTGAGTGAGTTAGTTTTATACTGCTTTTAGCAATATTCCAGCAATATCACCACAGATGACACCAGAAATGGGCTTCACAGACCTCTGAAATGGGCCTCACACACTAAACCCCTGTAGGGAAGCAAACCAGGGTCTTCGGTGTGATAAGCAAATGCTTTAACCACTAGGCTACACAACAGCCCCTCATAAAAGAGACAGACACAGAAGAATCATGTGATCATGGGAAGCAGTGCTTGTAGTGAATACATGGAAGTCTTACATCAGTTCAAAACCGACAGCAAGCAGTCAGCATAGTTTTACTGCACTCTTTAGACATATTCCAACAATTACAAGGCTAAACATAATGCACCTTTGTTGGAAATCTAACCAGGGCCTTCAGCAAGATGAGTGAATGTCTTAACCATGAGGCTACCCAACCAAACCTCAGTACCAGAATCATATCATGCAGCTGTAGGCAATTGAAACATAGCTCTAACTACTTTAGACCTGTACTAAACTGTAGAACACAGTGTGTGACCAAAGCAAATGTCAGTCTCTATTCTGGTCAGGTGTGAGCATAATCATTCAGATTTTGACATTTACGTGAATTTAAATCATGTTTTCAGGTATGGATCACAGTTTTTATGCTAAACATGCACACTGGAGTGAGTGAGAGTGAGTGAGTTATTTATCCCCTCTTTGGAGAGTATTTCAGTCATATCACATGGCAGCCTCATGTGGACTGACTGACTGACTGACGGACTGATTTACGCCACTTTTAGCAATATTCCAGCAACATCACGAGGGGACACCAGAAATGGGCTTCACAACGTTGTACCCATGATGGAGCTCGGTCATCGTGGACGAGCCAACGCTTTGACCACTAGGCTACCCCCACCGCCTCTGCCTCATGTGGAAAGAAAGCCTGAAGGGATGCAGGATCTAGATGTTCACCACTTATGTCCTAAGCAGCAGTTCACTACTCATGTGAACAGCTTTGTGTGTAGCTAGTTCCTTTGTTTTTCTGTTGTTTTTTTTGTTTGTTTTTTTGTTTAACGCCACACTCAGCAATATTCCAGCTATATGGTGACGGACTTTAAATAATCGAGTCTGGACCAAACAATCCTGTGATCAACAGTATGAGCATTAATCTACACAATTGGGATACAATGTCATGTTTGATTGGATTACGCATGTTATTTGCCACTTCTCTGAAGAGTATTTTAATATATCACATGGCAACTTCTTGAGGAAGATAACCACAAGTGATGAAGGCCTGACTGACTGAGTTTGGTTTTACGCCGCTTTTAGCAATATTCCAGCAACATGAGTGATGAAGGATGGAAATGGGCTTTTACACATTGTACCCATGTGGGGATTCGAACCCGGGTCTTCGACATGACGAGCCAACGCTTTAACCATTAGGCTACCCAAGTGATGAAGGATGGAGATGTTCACAACTAATGCTTATAGCAGTCATTCAAACTTAACATTCCCAGCAGCCATAGATCACTTTGGTGAAATCCACCAGCATAGATATAAGGCTGACAGAGCAAAGGTCATACCTTGGACAATGCTTGGGTTTGAGCTGGACAACTTGCAACAGTCAGCATAGTCATGTCCTGCTGTGCCAACACATCCCCCAATACCATAGCGAGTTCACATTTTGATCAGGAATAATTCAGCAATTCCCACAGAAGGAATAACCTGCATGATCATATTTGAGATCATGAATCTTATTTCGTTTTCTTCCACTGGCAGTGGGGTAGCCTAGGGATAAAAGCATAGGCTAGCCACACCAATAACAAGTTCAATTCCTAAAATGAGAAGAATGTAAAAAAACAGACATTTCTTACTTTGTTGTTGCTGGAATATTGCTAAAACGTTGCACAAAAACACAATTACTCACTCACTCCAGATAATAATTTCTAAAATGGCCAATGCTTCCTTATTATAGAGACAGCATTTTTAAGACATGGTAAATTGATTTCAGTTGATCAGTTGCAGAATTTCTGCCAATGACCACCTCCATAACAGGATCAGCACTGACTCACAAATAACACACACAACTCAAACAATACCTGAGAGGGGCAAATCTTTGCCATATGGATCTTGAGATGGTCCCCAACTGAAGTTCACCTGACCAATGGATGAAGCATATGGTACATTGACTACAGGCACTAGATACACAGGGGGTTGTGTCATAGGCAGGGGAGCCTGGGAGTTGTTGTTGGAGGACGAGGACACAGGTACAGAGCAGTAATGTCCACCACCGCCGTTCTCTAGAGGCTCAGAACTCTCAGGAACAGGTGCTTGAGGTATCGGCATTCTCTGCCCTATGTCAAGCGGTCGGCAGCTACAAATGGAGGGGGTTATTAGCAAGAAGATTATTCAAGAGACATCAGCATTATCAGAATGGTCTGCTCTGTATGTCATAGCGATCAACAGTAATACAAGTACACCAGTGGCATGTAATATGGATTATATTAGACACCAGTACTTCAATTACATCACAGTGGCATGCAATATGGATTATATTAGACACCAGTACTTCAGCTACACAGTGGCATGCAATATGGATTATATTAGACACCAGTACTTCAGCTACACAGTGGCATGCAATATGGATTATATTAGACACCAGTACTTCAGCTACACAGTGGCATGCAATATGGATATTATACTTCAGACACAGTGGCATGCAATATGGATTTAAGACACCAGCAATATGGATTATTTCAGCTACAGTGGCATGTAATATGGATTATATTAGACACCAGTACTTCAGCTACATCACAGTGGCATGCAATATGGATTATATTAGACACCAGTATTTCAGCTCTACACAGTGGCATGCAATATGGATTATATTAGACACCAGTACTTCAGCTACATCACAGTGGCATGCAATATGGATTATATTAGACACCAGTACTTCAGCTACACAGTGGCATGCAATATGGATTATATTAGACACCAGTACTTCAGCTACACAGTGGCATGCAATATGGATTATATTAGACACCAGTACTTCAGCTACACAGTGGCATGCAATATGGATTATATTAGACACCAGTACTTCAGCTACATCACAGTGGCATGCAATATGGATTATATTAGACACCAGTACTTCAGCTACACAGTGGCATGCAATATGGATTATATTAGACACCAGTACTTCAGCTACACAGTGGCATGCAATATGGATTATATTAGACACCAGTACTTCAGCTACATCACAGTGGCATGCAATATGGATTATATTAGACACCAGTATTTCAGCTACACAGTGGCATGCAATATGGATTATATTAGACACCAGTATTTCAGCTACATCACAGTGCCAAGAACTAGCTCCTAAAAGCAAAAATCTACAGCAAATGACACAAGAATAAACCGCCGCACTTCAAATGAAATTAACTGTAACAAGTTTTCTGAGAGCTGTCCCACCTGTTGTCCCTGGGTGTCCAGACTGAGCGTGTGAGTGGGGATCTGCTGGGTGAGATGTGGTAGTGTTGGGAGGGTAGGTCCACAGAGGCAACTGGCATTAGACACTGAAACAGGACCACAGTGACCACTATATACTCACACACACAATACAGTCATTAAACACGCTCGTAAAACTGTTTCCACTGTACAGGGGGCTAATACCCATAGGGACACACACCGTTCTATGGTCATGTTCTCAGGGTGGACAACAATGTAGGAGATTTTCTGGGGATGTTTGGGGGATGTTCTGGGAACAGGGCTTGCCATGAGCACATCCTTTGATTCGTACCTAGTCGTTCCACTGAACTTTACTGGGTGACTGAACAAGGAATCTGAATTACATGATGTCCAGGTATATTTGAAGTAATTTCCATGCATTGCCTACTGTCGTTTGATCAAACCTATACACTAGGATTTAAAAACATTGAAAGTTATGGCAAACACTACAATATTACAAAGGTTATTGTACATGTTTGGGTCCAGTGAGAGCAAACAAACTTGACTAGAAACTCCAGCTTTTCTCCCTTCTATCAGCTTTAAGCATGGGGCACACCGCATATAAAAGCACGAATAATAAAAAATATAAAGTTTGGGCCATACAACAAGATCACATTTATTTGAGTTGGCACTTTGGACACAATACAAGTGACATCAAGGTGTGGGGGTGATGCAGGTCTCAGATGTTCTAAAACTTGTGTGAAACCAAAGAGCAAGGCTGTGATGGTGTCAACATACATAGAACATCTAGGATTCAAACCCTGAATATAGGTTTCTGTGTACAACAAACTGCACACCTCACTAGCCCTCACCAAATACATAATTATGGCAAACTTTGTAGAAAAAAATGAAGTGTACCTTGTTATTTCTTTATGTCATATTTGAGTAACTGGAAAAATTCATAGGATATCATACTTACCTATCTTATAAAGTTAAACAATTGGTAAGTAAGGGAGAAGCTTATATCAAAATAAAACAAAAAAATAAAATATATTCCTTGTTTAATAAAAACAAAATAAAAATAATCTTAAAAAATCTGAAATAAAGCCTACTTTTTAACATATTCAAACAAACTTCTACTGAAATTTTATTTCGAATTCTTTTTTACTGTATTTAAAAGTAACTGGCCAATTTAATTTTTACTTAATATTGTCCCAACAATTTACTGTTGTATTCAAGTTTTACTTAAAATATTGGTTTCACACTATCTAATTAAAAATAATAGAGAATTTCACAGTTTGATTTTAACACTGTCCCAGTAATGAAGCAAGAGAAGGATATAGGTTAACATAAAGCACGACCTATTAGATTAAGAAGAAACAGCTGTAGGCTGTTTGGACCATGCCTCCCCTGAGGGGCCGAGATAAACACACCACTGGCACCATCTTGAATTGCAATCAAACAGTCCGAAGCTTAATCAGCAGTTACACCATCAAATAAAAGCTTACAAAGACATAACCCTTATCTCTCACAGGTAATGTTGAGATAAGAAGTATTTGATGTGTGCATGTACATAAACCTGTACCTAATTACAAACTTTGATGACTGACCTCAATTACTATGCTCAATAGAAGGGCACATATGGAATGGAATTATTTTAACAGGTAGGCTGGATGCCAAATAAAAACATATATCATGACAAACTTGAAATGAAGATCCCTGTTTTACAGGGCCAACAATACAAGGTGATCAAGAAAGATAAAATAACATCCGTAAAACAATGGTCTTGCTCATTTGTGTACAGTCATTTTGTCCGATATCGTCATATTGTTGGAGAGGAGCAATTATCTTACCTTCATGTAAAATACTTTAATTTCATTGGTTAATGACGCTTTAACAATGTTTCCGTGTCACCCCTCCCAGGAGGGTGACAACTGGAAAAAATATTACCCACTGCCATGGTAACTTCTAAACTCTCCACCGAGAAACTGTATCGCTAACAATCATATGACGTCATAATAGGACACATGCAGTGCCCTTAGTTCGAAAACAGTTCGATTATCTGTTTTTGAGTTCACTATGGACACATTTATATTACTGACTTTCCCTGCTACATTTAAACAATTTTAAGCATTGCATCGTTTGCACACTCAACTTAAACATACCTAACCATTTTTATAGCAGTTTTAAGCTTGTTAGAATATGTTCCACTGATCTTAAAAATCCAGTTGAGAGGCAGATGCCATTTTGTTTACATGTTATATATTCGGTAGCGAGCTTATCGATCTTCCAAATAAAATAAAATCATATTTAAATATTTTGAACATTTAACATGGCAGTAAAATAAATATGTTGTAAACTTCTCCCTCTGGAAATACGGTCTGATGTACGCCTTTTTGTAGCAGTGTTTATCCCTCACCTACCGGCTCGTGTGACACTGCTTCAAAGAGGTGTACATCAGACCGTATTACCCTCGAGAGAAGCATACAATCTATATTATCTTGCCTCAAACATAAATGTCGTTTTCTGATTGGCTGAGCGCTCTTCTATTATTTTCAATGTACCCCGCTTACAAGCGAGTAACATTTTCTATGTACCCTGCTGGGAATGCCGAACTCATTTAGTACTTCATAGTAGTAATTCTTTATCTTGCATATCATTGAATCATGTATGATGTACGGAAATTAGCGATATTTTGCGAATGCAAATCGATGTAAAGGAGATAAGTCTAAATTTGTTTTTCTTGTCGTCTGGTACTCCATACTATGATCCGATACCCATGCTTCAAACAGTTCAAAATTACTATTGAGGTGTTCGGTAAGATAAATACTAGTACTTTCTTCACTGGTCCCTCGGGGCCCAGGGGTTGATGTACCCTTGATGTTTTTTATGTTCCCTAAACATAAACAAACATCGAGGGTACATCAGCCCATGTCCCCATCAAGACCAGTGAACAACTTATACTGTCACGCTGACCAAATAACTTGTCACAGTCAGCAACTGGGGAAAAATCATTAAAACTCCATAATTTTAATTATGAATTCAAGCCGCATCGCACATTAGGAAAATTAGTTGTACATTAAAAAATGGTTCCATATCTGCCTATTGTCAGAAGCAATTAATGACATGCATTAAAATTTGAAGCAAATAGGTTCTTGAGATCTTGAAAGATTACTTTGTTTTAATCTCAAACACAAATACCACAAGGCTCACTACCACTTCAGCTGTATAACAAACTAATCTGATTATTCAGATGGGGTGTAACAATCCTCGTATGATAGGAATGATTTTAAGAAGTGGAGTGTTTTGACCATAGCTGGAGGTTGACGATATTTTTCTGAAAATCCACGGATGAGTAATTTCGATTATTAATGTGATCATCGCTTGTTTTATACAAATTTACATCTAATTCGATTTTTAAATTTTGAATATTGTAATATTTTGGTAAAAAATATTTTGCAATTCAGTACACATCTACATTCAGGTTTTAACCAGCTGAGTTACATTTCAGTTACAAACCAGTACATGATTGACATTATTGACAAGTGAAACTAACCATAATGATTACATACTATCAATTCTCAATAACAAATCATTGTATAACTTATAAGCTACATTACTGTGGAGCTTGTACGTCAGTTTATGGTCCCTCCACTTAAGTTGGTGGAGACAAGCTGCAGTTAGTTTACGAAACTTAAACAAAACCTTAGTTTTAGTTGTGATGCCTCTGCTCTATCGTGAAAAAATATGAAACAAATGTAATCACTCTTACTCTAAATAAACATTTGTATTTTTGCATTTTATTGTGAGTATAAAATACCGTAGGGTCTTTTTGTTAATAACACAAGACAAATCAATAACACCTACTTCATTCTGAGTTGCTTGCCTACAAATATGTGTGATAAATTTTGAAAAAAATCCAATGAAATAATTTGTGTAATTTGGATGAAGTACACTTTTCAACGAGTCTACTTGTATGTTTGTATAGATACATATTTAGAAACAGACATACACGACGTCTAGTACAATTAAAAATGCCTAAAACAACCTTGCTTGTTAATCAAATAGTCATGAAAATAGCTTCAACCTTTTATAACATGTTACACACTTGGAGAGTAATCAATGAGATAGTATTTAAGTAGAAATAATTGTGAAACAATTCTATTTACTGAAACAATGAGACAAGTCCCATATTGATAAAATATAGAATACATAACAAACTACAAATACTTGAAGGAAACTAACTACCACTGTGAATGATAATTTGGGTGTTTGTACTCTGTGGCCGAAGACTCCGGCCTTATGCACAATTATACATACATCAGAGTCAAACTGCCCTACCTGCAGCAGAGCGTGGACAGTGGCAGCAGCAGCACATGTCAGTGGGAGACTGTTATACCAAAGTACATGAAGCAAAATGGTTCTTGAAGCTAGCTGCCACGTGAAGTATTGAGTGGGTTATAGAGAGATGATCAACTGACAAGGGCACACACCAACAGTGTCAATATATTTACCTAAATAACTCATTGATTCAACTGTGTATTGATCCAGGACACTTGTCAAAACAGTCGATAGAATCTTGTCAGAACAGCACCAGTTGCTGTGTATAGGCTGTGATATCAGAGCTTAGGTTTTAATCACTTCATTGAAAATAATAAAATATTTGTTTTGGGGGAGTGAGTGAGTGCAAGTATGGTTTTACGCAGCTTTAAGCAACATTCCTGCATGATCACAGCGGGGAACACCAGAAATGGGCTTCACACATTGTACCCATGTGAGGAATCGAACCTGTGCCTTCACTGACGAGTGAACGCGTTGACCACTAGGCTACCCCCATAAAATTTGAACTCTTTGGTCGATTTTCTACTTCTGACTAATTTACCCCAATAATGTGGCGATATGAATAAGGAACAGGGACACTTCCAACTGCATGAGTAGGGCAGAACAATACACACATTGCACTTGGCTAAGCACCACTAATTCCATCCAGAATATTCAACCACAAATCTACAGGATATTCATTTGCAGATCTACCAACATTTTTGGAATTAAATAGATTGGGAATTTTCCTAAGGTCTCCTACAACAGGTGTTAGACTTGAAGCCATATGGCGTTGAGAGACACACAA